GCTGATTGATAGTTTGAGAAGTATCATTGCTGTTTTCTACACGATGATGTACGATGATAAAGCTGCTAATTTTTAATCCAAAAAATAAATAAGGAAAAATACCAACACGTACTTCAGGAAAAGGAAGTGTATTCCTTCACCAGTAAAAGTCATAAGGGAATGATCTATGAGCACAAAGTGCATCTGTTGAGGAAATATGCAGAGTTTCCAGAATTACGGTTGTTTCCCTTCACAGATGTTATGAATCTAGCTTCCAACAACACAATTAAGACGCAATGAAAAATAATGCTTTAACACCTAACTTACGATGTTGGATCCATTTCAAGTGTCAAAGGTATGCAAAACAGGAAACTCGTGAATCTTTCAGTTCTCAGAATCCTTATATTTACTCTCCTAAGGCGCTGAAACTATAGAGATCTATCTTTTAAAAGACTATCACGGCTATGGAGATGTTGAAGTGCCCTCAACTGTTTGACGAAACTAGAGAAGCTCACATCTAGTCCAAAGGAATCCATCTTCACCATTCGTAAAGCACCATTACTCATTTTTGCTAATCTTATTTTTAGGCTTATACTACTAATAAATCTTTGCAATATAATAGCGGAGCTGGATTTCAGATATTGAAGATTGAATTTTCCTTATTTTTTTTCAGAAAAAAGTTATAAGATCTAGCAGTGTTCTGTCTTTTAAAAGGCTATCAAAGAGATCTGTCTTGCTAAGCAAAAAAAAAAAACTGTTCTACTCGTGTACAATTACTTCTTTACCCTAGAAGTTGAAGATTTAGTGATGCCGATTAAGTGATTATAACTGAGGCCGAATTTTCTGTTTTGGGAAGATTTAGATTGTCGAAGTCAAAATTAAGAGCTCTAATGATAAAGGGTGAGCGGAAATATTTGAGTGCATGTAATATTCTAAGGTTTAGAACTTAACTTGATTCTTCATGATTCATAGATATGCTATTGATAGTTATTTATTTATATTTAGAAATTCGCTTAATTATCACATTCAGCGGATGAAATGCTATACTCTGATAAGTAGGAAAAAAATTATTAGCAACATTCAAATTTCTTGCAGAAAGACTTCTTGACACCCCAGTGAATAAAAGAATTCGACGAAAAAGATCCAAGGATAAACAAAGTGCAGACTGTTCAGTGTGAGCTCGAATTACACTAGGCATGATGCTTGATTAAACAATAAGGATAT